TTTTTTTATTCTGGGCCAGCTTTAGCTCTGAGGCTTGGCTCCAGCTCTGAGGCCTCGGCTGCTGAAAGCAGGTATCTGGTTTGTTTGGGTTCTATAATCGAAACACTGTTTCAACTCCAGCTCTGAGGCCCGGCTGGCTGAAAGCAGGTTTCTGGGGATTTGTTTAGCTTCTATATTTGTAACAATGTTTCAAACTGCAAGCTCAGATGCCGGCAGCAGCAGGCAGGGAACGTTGGCTTCCTCTGTCACTGGAGCAAGCAAGCCTCCTGTTCGATTCAGTGCCTGGCTGCTGGCCGCCATCTTGGCTGGCAGTTAATTTGCATATCGCTTGATTAGCCAATGGGAAGGGTAGCGGAGGTATGGCTAATTACCATGTTTCTCTTTTATTAGATAGGATATCTTAGAGCTGCAGGTTTTTTTTTCAAGAATAAACTCTTTTTTGGCTTCTTTCTTCTTTAAGATATATTTCAGTGCCATTAAGTAATATACATGTAATATATACGTATTTATAGATAATATGTTATATGTTGTTTTATATTATCTATACTAATAATAGAGGAATATGCAAATTGTCTGGGACACTGTCACATAACGACCAATCAGCATGCTACATGCACAGCATGCCCCAGTAAGGCTGCTAAGGCTTTCATCTGTCCCTTCCTATACTGAAGACGACAGGGTTCAAGGAGGAAGGGCTCCAGTTTTGTGTTCTCAGCACCTAGCTAGGAGGCCTTCCTGCAGCGGTTCTCCCCTCTGAGCCCTGCACAGGACGGGCACTCTGGTCTGGGAGCCCCAAGGGGAGGCGGAGCTAAGTGCTCTCCCTGGGAGTCCGGCACAGAGGGCGCTCTCCCTGGGAACCTGGAAATCCACCTCCTGAAGCGACTGCGTAGCAGCTGGGCCAGGCAAACCATGGAAAGGTCGACCTACCCATGAGGATATGTACGCTGGTGGAGGCTACACAGCTGCCATAGTTGAAGCCGTCCTAGATGGAGGAGCAGGAGTAGCAGGGATCAGAGTCATCCATGTCGGCAATGGAAGCCCAGCTCCCCGCCGAATGACGGGAGCACACAGACCTCAACGGTCCTCCGTCACTTCCTGAGCAGCAGTCAGCCCCGACTGAGGATCAAACCCGAAACCTAAGTAGGTGCCCTGATAGAATGGAACCCAAACCTTTGGTGTAGCAAAGGATCTCCGGCCCACAGCAGGGGCCAAGGCACGCCAAAGGGGTTTTGTTGAGGGGCCCTGACAGGCAGCCCACAGCGCAGTGGGTTAGAACCTCCTCCTGATACAGCAAGGTTGCGGGTTGGATCCCTGGTCAGAGCACAGACAAGAAGCAACCAAAGAGTGAATAATAAGTGAAACAACACACTGGTGTTTCTCTCACTCCTCTCCTCTCTCTAAAATAATCAATCAATAAAAATTAAAATAAAAAATAAACCCTCTGGCTTGCAGAGTTGCTAAAACAGTTAAAAAGCGAAGTCCCATCCCTTCCCGTTCATTCAACAAATACTTCATATACTCCTTCAATAATCACACTGGGGATGGGTGTTTGTTTGTATGTTTTGGATAATCCTCACCTGAGAACATTTTTGCATTGAGTTGTTTTTTTTTTTAGAGAGAGTGGAAGGGAAGGAGAAAGACAGAAACTAATGTGAGAGACATCAATTGGTTGCCTCTTGCTGAATCCCCAACCAGGGCCCTGTATTGAGCCTGCAACCCAGGTACATGCCCTTGATCGGAATCCCACCCAGTACCCTTCAGTCCGCCTGCAGAAGCACTATCCACTGAACCAAACCAGCATTTTTTTTT